ATTTAGATTAGAGTTAACACGCATAAGCCTCGTTATTCAGAAGCCATGGTTTTGAGGAGACTTTATTTGTTTGCCCCTAGTCGTTGACCTATCACGATCACCAGAGTCCCCTCTTGATGAACAGAACGCCAACTTGTTTCACATTCATTCTCCCAGGTAATCCGTGTATTCGCTCCGAATTAGGTTTTTATCCTACTCGACCTTCGTTGAAGGTGTTTTTCTGAATCTCGTGCAAGAATATGTTGGCGGTATAAGCCAAAAGTATTTTTCCCCGTTAGATGTTGCACTACCTGGACTCATGTCATATAAACCCTCTTTCAAACTGCAAAATATCTCCGTCCTAGCATAGCAACAACCTCAACTTACTCACCACTACACGCATTCTACAATCCGTCATCCCCTGAAATACTGTGCTTCCGAAGTCTTTCGCTCGCAAGCACATTGTTCTAGATCTAAGGCGCTACTTATAAAGCACTCAAGATCAGTATGTTTTTCCTTATGTAACGGTGATACTACTGATGGGAAAGGCATGCGAGTAGTATGTTTTCTCGTAAATCCGCCTCGCGTCTCTTGAAAAGTGAGATCTATTACGGAATTTTTGGAGTCGCCTTGTACCATTTGCTTGGATCTGAGAAACAGTCAATGAATATCCAGAAAAGTTTAGGAAGACGCGTTCAAATAGAGGATGGATATCCAGTTTTTTGTAAACGAGATGCATATGAGAGTTTTTATTCCCTGTCCAATAGTCTGTAACTGTTCAGTTGGCATTTACTAATAAGTGACTCCACAGCGAAGGCCTTCTTCTTTTTCATTTGGTGCCGTGACCAGGATAAGGATGAACATCCCGTGGTCACAACCCCATGAGGATGGGGATCTCCGGACCTTCCTGGAGGACTTTGAGGAGGTTGCGGAGACTGCTGGACTGGATATTGATTAACTGTTGCTCAAATCCAAGCGAATGCTACAAAGCGACTCCAAAAATTCCGTAATATATCTCACTTTAGAAAAAACGCAAAGCGGATTTACGAGAAAACATACTACTCGCACGCCCCCCATCAGTAGTATTACGGTTACACTAGTATCGTAACAACGGAAACCTGAGGTGGCCTTGTGCGTCTCATTCAGTTGAAGAAGACCATCGTAAACAAGTTTCAAATGAACTCATTCGAGTCTCCCATCCACATCACAAATGAGAGTGGATGCAGGTAACGTTTCTTTGTTTTCTACACTGCAAAATGTTACGTGTAACACGTCCTAATTATGGGCTAATTTGGCGGGAGTTCACGATGATACCAAGCTTCGCTTCGATTATCTTCGTCCGAACAGACTCTTCTTGTTGAACTACGTCTGCGCTCAATCTAGCCTATCAACTTAAACAATAAAAAATCTAAGCTTGTTCTGAACTACCCTACCTTATTAAACAGGCCGATACTCCCGTCTGAGCAGGTGGTTCACGACCAACTAGTAGGTACAAAAAGAACTCATCCAGGATCCTTATACCCTAGTTTGTATTCTAAGTTGTTAAAATTCAGGGTGCCGACACATGCGCATGGTGTCACAATTCACTGCGATTAAAAACAGACAATTGCTAGTTGAAACTTGAAGTCAAATCGATCGAGTATGTCAGGTGTGTGCCCTTCTACGTCTACTTACTGCTTTTAGCTTGAGTTCCAAACTCCGTATCCGATCTTCGAGCACAGTTAGTCGGTCACATTCTTGGGGTTTTTGCACAAGGGGTACCGAAGTAGGCGTTCCTGCTGCGTCTTGCAGCCGATCGACAGTATCTTCAGTATCCTCGAATAGATTGCTGAAAATTGTTAGGGTAAAGGAACATGTAAAAATTTCAGTGAGTTGTGCCAGCTTAAGTTGCTGCTTGTTTTAAGCTTGTACTTTGATGAAACCGGATGCAGTAAACTGTCAACTGAGTAAGTCGCTGTTGGCGTTGATTCCATAAGTGGCGTCAATAGGTTGTGTCAACGAGTGATAAAATGTATGGAATGGATACAGTCGTTTCCGTCCGTTACTAGCTATTCCCAAAACAGACTACTTTCGAAAACCAATGTCTACCAGTTCCCACTCACCTAATGAAGCTGCGTCGATTGATGACTGTATGCTCCCGTTGAGGAATTGGAGGCCGTATCCGGTAGTCGCGACAGGTTTCACCAGTGGAGACAGGACTATCAGCTGGACACTTCTGTTGAAAGTACAGACTATCCCGAACTCGGGCATTTGGTCGTCGATTGGGTTGTTCTTCTGGCCCTGAATAACTCGCCCTATGACCCTTTTGGAGGAGTGAATGAAAAGGCTTCTTTCGTGAATGCAAAAAGTGATGGAGAAGCAGGTCGGAAATGTATGGTGGTTGAAAGAATCTGAAAACCATCAATTTGTGCAGACGGAATTTAGTGAATTCAAGCGGAGTGACAACCCCACGTGTCATCTTCAACTAAACTAGAGGAGTGTGAGGTTACCGCTTGAAATAGCGTTATTCAGGTTAGGAATAGTTGTAATTTAGAAAAGTATTTATTTTATATTCGTATCGCACTACTCGTAAGGTTGATAAAAATCCGTCGACAGCCCACGACCGGTTTCGCCCTTTTTGGGACTCATCAGGTAGGCGCAGTTCCCGGGATTCCGTCAACCTTATGTTCTACTTGAAACCAAATTGCACGAAATTAGCGAATATACACTCATTTGCAAACTAATTTGGTTCTTCGAGAGACTCACCTAGAACCCAGCTAAATCTCTCGTTTGTGATGTTTCCAGACAACGGAATGTGCTGCACCAGGCCGCCTCATGTTTCAGTCGCTACGATATTTGAGATATCGCGATACAAGTATATTTGTAATGCACTACTCATAAGGTCGCTGAAAATTCCTCGACATCCCACGACCAGTTTCATCCTTCTTGGGGCTCATCAGGAGTAGCGCACTACGAATATACATGTATCGAGATATCTAGAATATCGTAGCGACTGAAACATGAGGCGGCCTGATGCAGCACATTCACCTGCCTGAGAACACCACAAACGAGAGAGTCAGCTGTGTTCCAGGTGAGTCTCTCGAAAAACCAAATTAGTTTGCAAATGAGTGTATATTCGCTAGAATTCGCTTTACTTTTAAGGTTGAAACTGAGAAGCAGTGCATCACCTAATTTGGAAATTATCAGCCACGTGCATTTCAACAAATAAGCGCGTGTCATTCGGCGTGCTGTGATGGTGACGCTAATTACATGTTCCTCCCATAAGAAGACACTCGCAATGAGACAAGTTTACAAATCCTGGATTTCTTCCCGTTGAAAATGATGAGATCTCCATGAAGACGACACCCAGACTGGAATTGACTAGTTATAGTTTAGCCGCTCTTCTTCAACCAATATGTGGTACATGAACGACCCACTCAACCCTGCACGGACGATGTCACCTCGATTAGTGATGAAACGTTTGCAATCCAACTGCCAAGCTCCGCGAACAGACCAACAACCAAACAGCGCGCCCGAGCTACCTACATTCCACAACGTTGCTAACATGAACGACCAGTTAAACGTTTGGGAACCACGGTTCGTTTTACATTAGCTGTTCCATGCATACATTCACTTTCCTCTTCTCTGCACTCCTGCGTAACAGTGAGTGAAGGCTTTACGGGACTGTATTTCCAGGGTGCAGATTGGAACATTTTGCCTTCTGTTTCCAGCCCATTTTATCAGCTGCACATTCAGGTGTTTAGATGACAAACTGCATCACGGCGACATCCTAACCGCTTGTGACGTAAATCATCATTGGAACGCATAACATTCTGGCTTACCTGGCGCACGTTGATCTGTTTTTAAGTGTTGAAGATGATATCGAAAATGAGTCAGTCATTATATCACTCCCAATTACACATCCAAACATCCGTCCATGAATTTGGTGCCGCGCGTTTCGTTAGGACAGTTTTAAAAGTACGCAGTCGCAGCTACTCTGTATTTAGATGAATAGCGCGTTGGAGATGACTTGATGCTACATTATTCGGATAAGCGCCACCGGTTGAACATTGCTTGAGACACATCCCATTGTCTTCCTAGTTCTCTAGAGTCATTTGCGCTTTTTCGAGGCATACAGTAAAAAATGGGGGGGGGGGGTTTGCAAATTCAACTGTGGTATCCATGCTCTGAGTTTGGGGCGTTTGTACCCGACAAGACGATCGCACCAAAGTAATTTCGATGTTGATTCCCTCCCGGGTACTGATCAGTACGGATTAGTCTTGACCAGTGTATATGACTACCTACAATGAGGAACTCTTTGGTGACAGGATACTGGAATCATACAGGATCGATGACAAAATTCTCACTTTGGGAATCTGAGCCCTAAACACTCAGCTTAGCCTGAATACTTATTCACAAATTTAACCTGTCACTGGGCAAGTGTCCTCTTTTGACCTTCGTCAGTATACGCAGGTCTATTGAGCGTGAAGGCAGAAAAAGAAGTAATATACCGGATCTTTTTCAGGTGGAAGACTAAATCAGCGTTGAACATGGGTATAAAATTGTTGATGGTTGCGGTGAGTGACTATGCCTTGCGGCTGAAAGTTTAGAGGAGGACATGCCGATAACTTGAATCGGTTCTTCATTCCTTCGGCTTTTGGCCATTTGTTATGTAATTTCTCTTAAATGTCTTTGAAAGTCCGTGTGGGTGAGTTCACAGCACCCGGAATTTAGTGGGATTTGACTTTACACAAACGTATCGCAATGGGAATGTCAACATTTCACTTTTCAGCCTCTTCACTCATGGCATTATCGAGACAACTTTGTTGCGCATTCTGCACTAGACTGAGGGAAAGATAGAGCCGGTTTCCGACAAAACAACGGTCCGTGGTTATTTAGTATCATGTTCCGACATGATATCGCCCACTTATGATCATTTTCCGAACAAATGATATGGACACCTTAATCGGAGACAAAGTGGTAGAGGTTCACCTCGTGCGCTACCGTTTCTCAAAGGCCAGCTACTTAGTCTTCCAATCTTACTAGGCCACCGTTCCCACTGACCAAACTAGTTTCAAACGCAACCCCGTGATCCGATTCTTTAGGGCAGGGACACGAGCTCCTGCAATTCCACTCACTGAGTAACTGAAACATTAATGAAACAGCAGGAATTTTCGACGTCATGTAAGCGGATAGGTTTCTACCGATAAGCAAAACTGCTGGGATGCTCGCTAGAGGGTTTAACGGTAGGANACGAAGTTGGGGGGGGGGTTGATCTTTGTTGTTCCGAAAAATAGAAAATAAAATTTCGGGCGAATGAATGTGAATATGTGAACAGGGCCTGCACTTTTAGAGTGCCAACTCCTCCGGGTGTTCCTGTAACGTGAACATACAGGTATTTGGACGTTGGGATAAGTGAAATCGCCATACCGGGACACGTTACAATGCAAGGAGCTATCTTCACTTGATACAGGGGAAATGCGATACCCGAGTAAAACTTTCGAGATCATCAATGATTGTTCGTAAACGACTTACCTCAGCAAAGTTTTCTCTTCACACTCAAACAGTCCTCGGAGAATAGAACTGGACACCAAATGGAACTAGGATGAGCTATGAGTTAACGGGCACTCATAACATTGGCAGGTCAAAAATAAACTTGAGTATAGATTGTCGACCACTTCTCAGCAGAGTGTTCTACAGGTTCCAATCTAGCCTTACACAGGAAGCCCAGGAAAACATTCTGGAACAGAAGTCGGCTGATTTTTGGTCGCTAATCGAAATTCCTCTTACACCGGAATGGCGAGTAGCTTTCACCGTGCGCAACAAGACTGGGAGAGTTCGGCCTAATCTAAGTAAACACGAATGATGTTTCGATGATGTTTTGATGAGAAACATAGCTGAAGCTAGCAGAAACCCTTGCTTATACTGGTCTTGCTCAAGAGCAGTGAATGACGTCTAGACAAGGGACAGAGGACAAGGAACAGACAGAACAAGGAACAGTTTGCATGAACTGGCCAGTCGTTTCAGATGGAACCTGGATATTTCGTTCAGCTTCTAAACTGGTGACAGGAACGGGGCAGACAAACTTTGGTCGGACTTTGCTAACCACTATTGTCCAGATGTCCGGATGCGAAATCCGGAGTCGTGTAAGGTGCCACTCGAGTATGAAACAGTAGGTTTTCACCGGTCCTCAGTCATTTTTGCTCTCTGATCTTCGTATGGACTACCTGCACGACCCACGCACCGAGTTAACTGCTTGGTCATCCTGATGTTCGTCTATCATAGCGCGGAATTGACCATAGTTTAACTGACATATCAATGTGGCTCATTCGCAGGCTTCTGCTTGCTATATTTTATCCGTATTTTATCCCTACAGTAGAACCAACTTAGAAGGCACTGCTTCACTGGAATTCGGTTTAACAGTTTATCGAATCCAAGTAGGAATGAAATGATTTTCAGTCTTCTTGTTGTACATCATTTTATGGACAAGGAGATTGTAGAAGGAATCGCCTCGTAGACTGAGCGACTGCATCCACGGTTACCGGGATTCATCCACTGCAACACATTCGTTCAACGACAGACAATCTAGTTCCGCCAAGCCCCCAGGTAAGACCACCTCTCTAGAACGGATAGCACGGTTTACTGCGGGCTAGCTCAGCCGAGTTGGGGGACCAAACATCAATGTAACCGAGCACATTTATTGATAACGTAAGCTACCTTCTACCTAAAAGATTTTGGTAAGTTTTCCGGTATCTTTGAGATAGAGTCAAAAGATGTTGCCACATTCATGTAGTGTTTGCAGCAGGTTGTGAGAATAGCCGCTGGTTTGTGCGCCGAGCTGCCACCAGTCGAGGTGACCTCATCACCGTGGATTGTGCAAAAAGCATCATACTTGAGATGTGGCAAAGACCACTTAAATCACTGATATTAAACGATGAATGACATGCCATCCGGCAGGATGTAGTTGCCGAACAATTCGAAAGTGTGGGATAGGCGTTCCGTTTTAGACGCAAATTTGGACACGCCGCCGAGTGAGATTTACTTCTCTCTTGTTGCTCCTGATGCGACGTCCGACGCCTGCCTGCGAACCATTTCACGCATTTTACGGCAAAAAATGTGCTTGCAATCTAAGGCCTCACACCTAAAAGGGAGATAGGACTGTGATCTGTAGGCGCGGTAAGTTACATGACCGTTGAGCTCATATGTACCTCTAATGCTATTGGTCGGCTGCACTGGGTTGAATGGACATTTCTAGGGTTTGTGGGAGTGGGAGAAAGACTTGAGACGAACGAAATCAGGTGAGATGCCCAAAGAGTTCAGAATCAGTTCAATCGGATCAAACATACGGTAGGTCATTGGGCACCCTGGGGCCAAGAAAATGGGTTCAGATATCAGTAACTGAAACGATGACTGATGGGATACGGACGGTCAAGGCGACGAGGTCCAACATTCGATATTCGCGGTACGGGCACACCTTGTTTCAGTGGAACAACCGTCGTACTTCGCACACAGCAGACGGCTTGCAATCTTGGTGAAACGCACGGAAAAAAGTCTAGTCGTAACAGTGTGGCAACAACCAAAAATGTCAGCACTGTGCGGAGATTTCTGAAGTTTAATGTAAGTGAAGCCAGTCTATTCCGGAAAGCTGAGGAGCATTGTATAGCACTGTACCCCAATGGGAATCATCGGCAATGCGCAGTTCACGAAACTCCAGACAGTGTTGAGCCCGCAACCTCATGACTAGCAGTTTAAACTCTTAACCATTCAGCCGATGACTGAAACTTCCATCTGAGAGGCAGCCACTCGAGGAGTCCGGGACCACGTGTGACCACGTGATGTGGATCCTATGACTGAACCATGACTGGCGCTGTATTTTGTTTAGGTGCGATCTAATCACACTGCTGATCAGCTGCTCATGGCTTACCGGCAAATTCTTCAAACTACTAACCGGGAAGTCACGGGTTTGGGTCTATCTAGAGTTACGTGAGGTGTGATTCCCAGTAATGCCGAAACAACTATAAAATGTCTGTCAGCTTCTCAGTACTGATTACAAAACGAAGTCTCCCCACATTCTTCCCTTACTTTATTCCTACTCCGTAATCGATGGAGAGGAGCCTTGAAACCGGGCCAGCTGGAATCTAGTCGATAGATCTGCAGAAAGTTGACGACTGGCATGCACGCACAGACTGATATGGATCACAGTCCCCGGTCTAGATAGGCGCTTGGTGCGCTTGACCGAACGTAAAAAAAGTCAACGAAGGTGCGAGCCAGCTGCTCTATTGATCACTGTCGCATACAAGCGGGTCAAAAAAAGTGGTACTAGGATTACAAGGGCGAGTGAAGAACAACTAATGGAATCTGTCTCAACGAAAAACGAGTATTCTATTGGCTGTTATGTAGTGCTGTTGCGTTCGGAACTGGTTCTCCTGATAGCTACATTGGGTTGCATTGCGGTAGCTACCTTTCTGGTTATTGCAACATTTCTATGAACCGATATGTGGGCATTTGGATAAATCCACTAGGCAGCTATAACAACCGCGAATCAAGGTGGAAACGTAAGTTGTCTAGCCATGCGTTTTGCAAAAAGATACAGATGAAACGAAGGCGCACTAGACCCCCAAACCCCAGCAAGATAACCTTTCTGCTATCGATCGTATGGTACGATCCCAGTGATCTTCAGATGTACGTTTTGTAAGGTCATCACTGCAGAGCTGATAATATGATGGGTACTGCACGGTAGCAATGGTCTGATCTGCACTGACTGACTGGGCCTTCAAAATGTATTCACAACTCTATGCATTGACAACGATGGTAAACCCTATAATATGCGGCAATAGTTGCAGACTAGCCTTATCTCAGTTTTCTCACTTGCTTTCTGTCCGGCCCAAAAGTCCTTCAATATTGTCAGCAGAACATATCTTAAGCTGTGGTTCATCATCACCACCATATTACTTCCTTTTTTTCATTTTTCTCACCTGAAAGTCTAAAATTATTAAGGCCGTCCGGCATTTGCTAACAGTAAGACTTTGCTTTACATGTTTTGGTGAAACATCGACATCTGAGGTGCGATAGTCACGCAGAATGTAAGACATTTCTACCACTATCATGGGATATATTCTTGAGTTGGTTTTCCTACGATGGTGCGTTTTAGACCTCACCCCCAGATTCGCAACCGCACCTGAAGCCCACTTCGATCAGAGGTTACATAATAACCTACACCCATAAGGATTTAATTAACCAGCTCTATTAAACGAGCATCGGTTGTTAGAGAAGTTGTGAGACTAACTCCTGGACTGCTCTGGCGAAAAAAACATGAAGACTGCGCAAGTCTGTGTTAAATAAGCAGTCACAGGACAGCACATCAGCATTTAAGCACTAAAAACACCTAAAAACAAGTGATATCTCGGGACGTTGCAGTCAAAGGCATTCAACAGGCACGGTACATACTAAATTTACTAAATATAGAGATACTGAGGTGCGGATCAATAGTAAAACCAAAACACCTATTGACCAGGGTCGAGATGGCTCAAGTGGTTAGGCGGGTCCATGGTTCGAACCTGATCTCTGCCTCTCGACTTCCCTGTCCAGACTTGGGCAACCTTGCAGTCTCCCAGACCTCGGGCAACCTTCGGGTGGCAAGGAAATTAGGCACCGAAAGGATGCTACAGCTGTACGACCTAGTGACCAAGGTGATGAAAGTAGCAAAGTCTAGCGTAATTAGTTAGAACTGGGAAGTTAGTTTTGGCCCAGCATGACTGTTCTGCGGTTGTCATCAGCCGAGTTGATGTGGCCCTGTATAAAGGTTTCCGAATCTATCAGTCGTAACACTTGGTCATCAACACTAACCAAAAAGAAATTTTCCCCAGCACTCAAGACCGATGGTCAGAAGAGATCTCAAGAGATCTCCCCAAACTCAACTGACCTGTATGTACTAGCCCTGAGGAAAGAAACTTTATAAAGAAGACAGATCTACCGATTATTCAGAAAATCTTTCCGAAACAATGACTTCTGGATGGAATCTGGTTAGGAAGGATACAATATAAGTGGACCCTCGGAATAGTCAAACAACTACTTGTCTGTCGATGTTCCCTTTATCTCCTCGCAAGTTCAACTTACAGTGTAGCCCATGTTCACGGGCTCATCAGATGGGGAAAGTCCTCGCTTTCCCGTCAACCTATGTTATACATGAAACTAAATTGTACGAAATTAGGGAAATAAACTCATTTGCAAACTAATTTGGTTTTGCGCGAGACACACCTGGAACCCAGCTGAATCTTTAGTTTGTGGTGTTTCTGGGCAACTGAATGTGCTGCACCAGGCCACCTCATGTTTAAGTCGCTACGATATTCGATATATTGCATTTATTATTATTACATTTATTTATTTATTTATTATTTATTTATTTATTTATTTATTTATTACATTTATATTCGTAATGCACTACTCACAATGTTGCTGAAAATTCGACGACAGCCCACGACCGGATTCGCCCTTTCTGGGGCTCATCAGGTAGGCGCAGTCCCCGAGTTTCCGTCAACCTCATGCTCTACTTGGAACCAAATTGCACGAAATTAACGAAATACACTCATTTACAAACTTATTTGGTTTTACGAGAAACTCACCTGAAACCCAGCTAAATCTCTCGTTTGTGACGTTTCTAGGCGACGGAATGTGCTGCACCAGGTCGTCTCATGTTTCAGTCGCTACGATATTCGAGATATCGCGATACATGTATATACAAAATGCACTACTCGTAAGGTTTTTGAAAATTTGTCACTTGGAATCCAGCTGATACTTTCGTCTGTGATGTGTAATTCTCTAATTCGTGCAATTTGGGTTCAAGTAGAACATAAGATAGACGGAAAGTCACGGACTGCGCCTACCTGATGAGCCCCAAGAAGGGCGAAACTGGTCATGGGCTGTTGAAGAGTTTTCAGTAACCTCGTGAGTAGCTTCCTTTCAGAAAATACACCTTGGTATTCGGTGGAAACAATGACTACTTAGGCCCTCCATTCATTCTAGACCTCAGCTGTTATTCGCTCAGACGGGCACTCAGATTAAAGATGGCTGACCTTTCTAGTCCATAGAAAGGAATACAAAGCGCATAGACATTTGGGCGCTCTATCACTTGCCTAAAAGTAGTGATGCCAATAACGCAACTCTTGATAACTGAAGGCATGAGTGAATCAATGAATGTCATACAGTGGCACTCCGTACCCAGTCCACCTATACGAAAACATAGTTCAATACATCAATACAATGCTTACCGTACTGGATACCGTACCGGATGGAGAAGTGTGATCTCCGGGAACCAGATTAGTTAGGGGCGGTAAGCACAAAGTAGGCGACAGGTTGATCACAGTTCTTGACTTTGGACGAGGAGTTGGATCAGAGAATGGTGTTCCCAAATCGTCTGCCGTAGATGAAACAGAAATAGTGCAGGAGGCGGTATTTATGACCATGTTATTCCACTGATATTGCAGTGACTAGATTGCTGGCAGTCGTGCGTGGCGAGTGCTTGTTGGAACGAATCGCAGCTAAATATACTACTCATAGTCACTAATTTTTCACATAAAGTGAGAATGTGTAGCTTTCTTTCCTTAAGCTGTATCAGGACGAAGCTGAATCTCTCTTTTTTGCTACACTGACGTATTCGGAGTTGGGTATCTGAACTATACATATCTCATTGTGAAAACACGGCCACAGCGCTCAGCTGGGTTCCACACAAAGTAGACAGCTAATCTACCTAACCGTAGAGAACGAAAGCCATTCAAACAGTACTCACGAGAATCGCACTGGATCAAACTTCGTGCTCCACATGTACGTGAAGAATACTGTGGAAGTGGTCTGAGGCTAACATAATAACATGCGTCTGTAAAATCTTGGTGTGTTGATTGGAAAATCAGCCCATATTACTGACACAAACCTCAGGAACAATGCAGCCATCAGTTAAAACTATGACATTGTGGGAAATTCGAAGGTGCGGTAGGATCGATTTTAGCTGAAAAGTCAGAGGTTCGGAGTAAAAAACTGAGTTTTGTCTTCACTACAACAGAGTAAAAGCATCCATTCGAACTTCTTGAGATGTAGCAGAAAAGGACTCAGGTCAGCTCAGATAGACTGTTATCTGTGCAATTCGTCCGCAATCGAATAATCAGAGTTTGTGCCGCTTCCAGCAAAAATTGAGTGGTTCAGTGTATTCCTCATATGTTCTCTAACTCAAGTGGACTTCATAAATTCTTCCATAGCTATCAGAACAGAGCTTAAAAATGGACTGAATAGTACAAATACAAAAAGTACCTTCTCAATGGCGCTGTTTTCTCGGTGCGAGGAAATCTATGGGAAGATGGGCTTAATAACAGCCTTTTCTTGAAGACAACAATGCGAGTTCCCAAGACCTCTCCCAGGAGTTGTCTACTTTCAGGGGTGAAATTTACAATGAGGTAAAACGAGGAAAGTTACTTAAGGCGAAATGACCAGTGACTAGCGAGTGTGTTTATCTGTTTATATAAGTGTTCCACTAACTTTAGTACTCATCAGAAGTTCCGTTCATTGGTTTAAAGCAGTTTCTGTATTAACCGGTAAAACGAATGGCGTTATGAATATAAGATGTGATTTATTATATATTTACATATGGTTTTTTCCAAAACAGTTATCTTGGATTTTTTTTATATCTTTGGATCGCGCCTGACACAGGCTCAATATCACCTTCGTTGCTTCGGGAGTCAAGGCTTCCGTCTTAAGCTACATTTCAAATATTGCAACTTGGGAAGATCGTTTAGCCATTTTTCCGGAGTAAAGCACACTCCCATCAAAGGGTAACAGCTAAGAAACCAATCGTTGCGTAAATTCGGGCTGCACTGAATTGCTCAGTATCGCTCAAGAAAATCAATGATTGGCCAAACACAGATGGGTTGACGAACATGTTTTCGGCAAGGTCTTTTCAAGTCATACAATTGCAAAGGTTAAGAGAGCGGTGTTTAACATATTTGAATGAGTATGGTGTAAATGGACAGGGAATCGAGTGAGATGACATTGGCTACCTATCAAAGAACCATTAGTTCAGGTCGCCAATAGGATGACTTGAGCTAGTCGGCTCGGGGGGTGTTGTAGTTGTGTGTTCAGCACACGATGCATGTGTGGGGGGAGGTGAGTTGGACCATGGTAAGTACAACACACGAACAAAGCGTTTTTGCCGACAAAGGATCGGGTTGCGATGTCGTATGGCGATAGCTTCAGCCGCTGCAATTGTGCGCTGCTGTACTGATCTGGGTTGGTTAGCCGGCG